ATTAATGAACCTCACTGTTCAATAATCTCAGCGGTAAACAGGGGCTGCCAACATTAACGGTAAACAAGGGCTGCCAACGTTGACGGTAAACAAGGGCTGCCAACATTAATGGTAAACGAGGGCTGCCAACATTGACGGTAAACAAGTGCTGCCAACATTAACGGTAAACGAGAGCTGCCAACATTAACGGTAAACGAGAGCTGCCAACATTGACGGTAAACAAGGGCTGCCAACATTAACGGTAAACAGGGGCTGCCAACGTTGACGGTAAACAAGGGCTGCCAACATTAACGGTAAACGAGGGCTGCCAATATTGACGGTAAACAAGGGCTGCCAACATTGACCGTAAACAAGGACTGCCAACATTGACGGTAAACAAGGGCTGCCAACATTAACGGTAAACGAGGGCTGCCAACACTGTCGGTAAACAAGGGCTGCCACTATTAAGAGTAAACAAGTGCTGCCAACATTAACGGTAAACAAGTGCTGCCAACATTAACGGTAAACAAGGGCTGCCAACATTGACGGTAAACAAGGGCTGCCAACATTAATGGTAAACGAGGGCTGCCAACATTGTCGGTAAACAAGGGCTGCCAACATTAACGGTAAACAAGGGCTGCCAACATTAATGGTAAACGAGGGCTGCCAACATTGTCGGTAAACAAGTGCTGCCAACATTGTCGGTAAACAAGTGCTGCCAACATTAACGGTAAACGGTAAACAAACGGTAAACAAGCTGCCAACATTAATGGTAAACGAGTGCCAACATTGTCGGTAAACAAGGGCTGCCAACATTAACGGTAAACAAGGGCTGCCAACATTAATGGTAAACGAGGGCTGCCAACATTATCGGTAAACAAGGGCTGCCAACATTAACGGCAAACGAGGGCTGCCAACATTAACGGTAAACTAGGGCTGCCAACATTAATGGTAAACAACTGCTGCCAACATTAACAGTAAACTAATGCTGCCACTATTAACGGTAAACAAGTGCTGCCAACATTCTTCTTCTTCTTGATAGTAGGCGCAGTTTGCATTAGCCAACATTAAACAGTCACGATGATACGCATATTGTGCGTGACCTTGAACCGACTCCATGTCTTGGGAGACATTCTTGACCTTTATGTTGACATCAGTGTCTCCCTTGCCTTGTGTGCTTCGTCAATAGCTGGACATGGCTTCGGATCATTTACCCATATAAACTACTGAAGTGTCGGATGCAATGTCCTTCCTGACGGAATATCTAAACGAAACCCGAGTGAGTGATGCCAGTGTGGGATGGTGAGCCAAACTTAGCAGCAGGGAAGGACAGATTGTCGGAGATGAAGTATCCATCTGGATACACTTTATCCAGATGGCTGGACCGTGGGACATTATGGCTGGTCTCATGGCTGAGGGGCTTTGGTCACTGAGGTACGCAGCTAAAACATACTGTTGGCTACTTTCTGTGATATATAATAAGACACTGGAAGCAGATGAACTACAAGGAAGTTGGAAGACAGTTAAAAAAATACGACAGAGGAGTAACTAAATTACATGCCAGTATCTTTTAGATGCATGCCATGCAAGGTGACTGAAAAGATCATAAGAAAGAAGTTGGTAAAACAACTGGAAAGAATCTTGCCTTACAAGCTTGATAGAATTCTGTGATTGGATACCAAAGCCGATATGATAAAAGGTGGACAATGTATTTATTTAGAGTGCCAATGCCTTTGACACAGTAATCCAGCCAATAACACGAAAAGTGCTTCAGTAGATATGAAAGTGTCTAAGTAACAGAAGCAAGGCAGTAACGGCACGAGACTTAAGAGGGGCGAGATATTAATAGCAGTCTCTCACAGGTGTCTGTGTTAGGTCTTGTCCCATTCCTGAGCTACGTAAATGATCAAAAGTAATAGACTTCGTCCTTCTCAATGTTTGCTGATGAAAAAATTATGGAGGAGTAACCATATGGCAGAAGACCAAGAAAATTAACATCTGGACAAAGTATGGCCAGAAAGTGGCTACTAGAGTACAACTTGGGCAAATGCAAAGCAACAAATGTGGGTGCTGGCAACACAGTACCAAATGGAAAAGGAAAGCATCCTTGAATTTGACCAAGGGATTCATATCATACTGAATCATGTACCCCGAAACCTACATCAAATGGATGTCATTCATTGCATTTGCCACATATCATATGCAATGAGTTTTGAGCAAGGATCAAATGCCACTGGAAGCCAAGTGTTAGAGGAAATGATTACAACACATACAATTCTCAAGAGAATTAACAGGGAAGGCAAGAACAGATCATATGGAATGGGTGGTACATGAACAAGAGGGCACTGAGAGAAACTACTGTATTGTTGATTACTGAACAAATGCAATGCACAATAAACTGAAGTAGCATTGCCAGACTTCATGCACAGCTTCAAATGTATATTTGATGGAGCCACATAGGCTCATGACTGTACACCAATTGATTGAAGTTCGAGACATGAGACCAGGAAGCTGAAGCTGAACCCCTACAATGATGGTGTTTTTTTAAGACACTAGTGCTATTTAGGGTAGAATGTTGTTGCACACTAACAACCTAGCTCATCTAGCTCATCAAGATTGTAACTTGCTTATTTAAATGAATTGTGGGGTTCAGTCCCTGAGCCCATTATGTGCCTCTGTAACCCTTTCCACTACTGCCCACAGCATGGGTATGGTGTGCATAATATATGAACTAAACTAAAACCCCTATCCAAAATTGAAGATGATCATGACTTGGAGATCATGCTGAGAACTTTTACTGCTCGAATCCATTCAGTAAAACAAATTATCGAGACATCAAAAGGGCTGCATTTTGATGGTAAAGCAACATTCTTATTTCATGCAGGTTGGCATTCAACCTCTGACCATCCAAGTGGTTGGGCACCATTCCTTACCCCCTTCCCCATCCCATCCCAAATCCTTAGATCCCTTCCAAGTGCTATATTGTTGTAATGGCTATGGCTATGGCTTGGCACTTTCTCCCAATAGTTCCCTTCCCTCTGACAGGTAATTGATCAAGTAGGCTGATTCATGTCTGACTGCATGCAGCAGTGTCTAACAGCCTAGCTGGCCAAATCATCAACTAGGAGGCCTGGTCAAAGACAAGGTAGTGGGAATTGTAATCTTTGGAAACAATTCAAGATAGCCTTAAAATACTGTACTGTATCTAAAAAAAATACGTACAGTATATGTTTTGTATCGGTATTTTTATATTATCTATCAGTATTGGGTAATATGGTAGTATCAATCAAAATATAGGTACTGTATTGGTATACTGTACCTCTTATTCTGAATACGCTGGGAAGGGAGTACAGGATCACTTCCAATAATGGTAATCATCACATCTATTGCATTCTTAGCAAGTGGGGCTCTGACCTAACAGACATTCAAATGTCATGGTGTCTCAGATACTTCCCAGAGACTTATCAAAGTCTCCCTTTACCAATGACTGGCCTTTCCCAGGATCCAACCCACAACAGCTGCCTAACTACTGTATTTTCACCTGTTTTCTTCCAGAAATACTCCTCTGTCAGTTTTTATCATTTTTCTACACCAGTTAGCCTATTTTTTGTGGTTAATGTTTTTGTACCCTATCAAGATACCTGTTTTTCTTCCTGCCATGACTAGCCACTGACATTTATCTTTTCTACTTTTAAATTATAAAATTTCACAAGAAAAATACTTATATGAAAATCCTTGAATTACAGAGGTAACTGAGCTAATACAAAAGGAAAAGATCACATGTTCTGGACATGACTAGTATGGACAATACTTGGCCAGCCACAGAAACAAAGATCACATACTAACCATAGTGTACCATTATATTTACTGTAAGTACAGTAAAGCATTTAAGTTAAAGAAAGACCATCACATTAACGATACAAAATAATTTTTTATTTTCCACATCTGTATTTGCAAGCTTCTTTCCCCCATTCTGAACTATCAAATATTATTTGGTAGCCAAATTTTTTATATTTTTAAGGTTTGTCACATCACGGTCTGGGTTTATGGGGTTGCACTGTATTAGAATATGGTAAGGGACAAGGTTAAGTGACTGTGGTTTCTAAGGAGTGAATGTATTTGTTTGTACTGTATACAGTATATATATATTTTATGCACATTCATATAATTCATGAGAAGCACAATACACCAGGTCATATGAAGTGATGGAGTGCTGCTGCTGCTATTTACTCAAGCAAATGTAGTATGTACATTACTGCATTTTTTTTATTCATGATGCTATAGTGTATGGATTCAAAAAATAGTTCTTTTTTGCTAATAACTAACCATTTTTAATTCTCTTGCTTCCATTGTTGTTTTATACAAGTATATGCCTCTCCAGTCCCCTCCCGTATTATAATGAACAACAGGATAATACTGCAATAATATAAAAATACTATAATATTTAATAAAATACAGTAATTATAAAATTAATTTAAAATACTGTAATAATAATAATACAATCAGCAAGCAACGTTTAGGTAGCCACTTGTGTACAACTCACAACAGTCTTCTAATGCTTTAGTAAATATTTGCCATTAGGTGAACAGAGGCATTGGGTGGAATAAATCAGCCCCAACATAGTCTGTACCTTGATCCTCGATGTAGGTATTCCTTAACCATCTTCACTACTAACATAAATCATTCACTTAGGTACTGGGGTGTCACCCCTACTTCCTCTCTCCTTCCAGCTCTGTGTTTCTCATCATTGGGGGAGGAACAACTGGGGTTAGACAAGGGTAAAGTTGTGACAGTTTTCGTTATGTACTCTAACTTAATATCCAGCACTAGCAAACAAGTCGTCTGGTTTAAGTACTGTACTCTCCTCCCAGCAAACTATTCTTTTATAACTTTATAAAGAATTCAAGTTAGGTAGGGTCCATTTATTTTGTTAAGAGTATGATCGGGTTTGGTTACTTTGTTTTTTTGGCTTAGGAGCGACTTGTAACGCCACCAAGACTGTCAAGCAATGTCACACTCACCTGTGAGCAGAGGCTGAATGACTCCATTCTGCGAGTGATTATTGCGGATGCGGTCCGACGAAGTTTCAACGCGGTCAATCATGATCATGTCACAAAGCGCGTCTCAGATGACAACAGCAGTCCTGTCGCCTACTCTGACGATGCTTCGTCTGTTCTACGCCAGGATCACCTGTAGAATTATATGTGACGGAGATCCTACCTAATCCCTTAATGTAAGTTGTCGACAAATTTATAAACAAAGTAACATCATTATACATAAGTTAACTACAATTTGCCTACTGAATGCTATTATAAAGATAAGTTTAGAGTAACAAATACCACATAAACATCAAAACAATAGCTTTATATCATTTATATTAGTGGGCGGAGCCTGCGCAGACGACACAACCAGGACACGCTTTCACCAAAGTCTGCGTCCTAGTTTGAACCTCTTAGTCGGCGCTTGCTGAACATCCCCATTAAAATCATAATTTTTCAGGTAATGCCACGGGTTTCTCAATGTATTATATAATTTTCAAACGTAGGACACATTAATCTACATTTTGAGTCCATATAAATTCGAATGTATCAAGTTTGATTGTAGATACAGTAAGATACATTTGGTGCAAGATACATTTGCTTTAAGAATGGTGAAAGATTATGTTGGTTGGATGATGTTATGTAGATGTACCTGTTGTTAAGCGATTTGGCAGGTCGTATTCCAGGTGAAAATTGCGATTAAGGACCTGCCCGAAACGCTATGCGTGCTAGTAGCTTTACAAGAATGTATGAACTCTTGTATATATCCCCCTTCGTGCGACCACCATATTTTAAGATGGACTACAAGTATAGAAACCCACATAAAGGTCATAAGGTGATGAATTTCTAGATTAGCAGCAAGGTGACTATCAAGGAATGAGAGAGGAACTGCAAACCATCTCCTGGAGGGACCTGATGGGCGAACATGGCACGGAAGCATCATGGCACATGGCCCCCCCCCCTTTTTTCATTTTTATCTTATTTTTTCTCAACACAATTTATACTTTAATCTCAATTAGTATTAAGTTTTAGTCTTAGTGTTTTTCCTGCTCGAAACGCTTTGCGTAATAGTGGCTTTAGGCATTGTATGTACTAGCTCTATCTATAAATCCATCAACTTTTGTATTTCACCTTATATGTATGTACTTTACCTGAATAAATATTTGTATTTGTATTTGTATTTTGTATTTGTAAGCATCATGGCAAAATTTCAAGAGGGTCATCACGGAACTCGTTCAAAAATATGTGTCGAAAAGAAGAAAGACAAGAAAGGGAACTAGATGGATGACACAGGTCGTAAGACGAGCCTTATAAACCAAGAGGAACCTCTGGAGAACGTATAAATCAACGATGGACGTCATTGATTATAAATTGAAATTGAATTGAAATTGAAATAAGTTTATTGAGGTATAAATACACACAAAGTTCACAAATCCTTAAATTTCACTGTAATGTACCTACTAATTTTCTTACAATATACCTGTTAATATTTTTCAATTTTGCTACAAAATACCTACTTAAAATTATCTGTTAGATTAAGGACCTGCCCGAAACTTGTGTATGTATATATGTATACGTATATATATATATATGTACATGTATGTATGAGAATGTGTACATGTATATATAACATTAATAATTTTGTAACTAGCGTCAAAAATTTTTATTTGCTTAGCTAAACGAACTAGAGGGTTCAGTTCCTGAACCGATTATGTGCCTCTGTAATCCTTTACACCACCGCCCACGGGATAGGTATGGGGTGCATAATAAAGAAATAAATTGATTGAATTGATTGCCCGAAACGCCATGCGTGCTAATGGCTTTACAAGAATGTAAAATTATCAATGCTATGTACTCTCATAAATCCAATGTACCTTCTTATATGTATGTGTGTGTGTATATATATATATATATATATATATATATATATATATATATATATATATATATATATATATATGTCGTACCTAGTAGCCAGAACGCACTTCTCAGGCTACTATTCAAGGCCCGATTTGCCTAATAAGCCAAGTTTTCATGAATTAATGTTTTTTCGTCTACCTAACCTACCTAACCTAACCTAACCTAGCTTTTTTTGGCTACCTAACCTAACCTTACCTATAAATATAGGTTCGGGTAGGTAGGGTTGGTTAGGTTCGGTCATATATCTACGTTAATTTTAACTCCAATAAAAAAAAATGACCTCATACATAGAGAAAAGGGTTGCTTTATCATTTCATAAGAAAAAAATTATAGTAAATATATTAATTCAGGAAAACTTGGCTTATTAGGCAAATCGGGCCTTGAATAGTAGGCTGAGAAGTGAGTTCTGGCTACTAGGTACGACATATATATATATATATATATATATATATATATATATATATATATATATATATATATATATATATATATATATATATATATATTAGTATATTTTGGTAGCAGTCTTTCCTGTAGACATATTTTATTAAATATGACCGAAAAAGTAAGATTAATAATTCTAACACGAATTTTCTCAATCTTTCGTACATTATGCTTCACTGTTGGAGGTAAATCAAAAATCACTTCTCCAAAATTCATTTTTATTTCTAGTCTGACGCGACACGGGCGCGTTTCGTAAAACTTATTACATTTTCAAAGACTTCACAAATACACAACTGATTAGAACTTGCATTTCCCTGATTTTATATCTACTTTTGAGTGAGGTGGGAAGGGTGATGTGGCATTACATTTGAGTGAGGTGGGAAGGATGATGTGGCATTAGAGGATATTAATAGGGTATTAAAAGTATCAACACAAGACAGAACACGAAACAATGGATATTGAATAGAAGTGTTTGTAGAAAGCCTATTGGTCCATATTTCTTGATGCTTCTATATTGGAGCGGAGTCTTGAGGTGGGTAGAATATAGTTGTGCAATAATTGGCTGTTGATTGCTGGTGTTGACTTCTTGATGTGTAGTGCCTCGCAAACGTCAAGCCGCCTGCTATCGCTGTATCTATCGATGATTTCTGTGTTGTTTACTAGGATTTCTCTGGCGATGGTTTGGTTATGGGAAGAGATTATATGTTCCTTAATGGAGCCCTGTTGTTTATGCATCGTTAAACGCCTAGAAAGAGATGTTGTTGTCTTGCCTATATACTGGGTTTTTTGGAGCTTACAGTCCCCAAGTGGGCATTTGAAGGCATAGACGACGAGAAATCGCCAGAGAAATCCTAGTAAACAACACAGAAATCATCGATAGATACAGCGATAGCAGGCGGCTTGACGTTTGCGAGGCACTACACATCAAGAAGTCAACACCAGCAATCAACAGCCAATTATTGCACAACTATATTCTACCCACCTCAAGACTCCGCTCCAATATAGAAGCATCAAGAAATATGGACCAATAGGCTTTCTACAAACACTTCTATTCAATATCCATTGTTTCGTGTTCTGTCTTGTGTTGATACTTTTAATACCCTATTAATATCCTCTAATGCCACATCATCCTTCCCACCTCACTCAAATGTAATGCCACATCACCCTTCCCACCTCACTCAAAAGTAGATATAAAATCAGGGAAATGCAAGTTCTAATCAGTTGTGTATTTGTGAAGTCTTTGAAAATGTAATAAGTTTTACGAAACGCGCCCGTGTCGCGTCAGACTAGAAATAAAAATGAATTTTACATAAGAACATAAGAACAAAGGTAACTGCAGAAGGCCTATTGGCCCATACGAGGCAGCTCCTATTCTATAACCACCCAATCCCACTCATATACTTGTCCAACCCGTGCTTGAAACAATCGAGGGACCCCACCTCCACAATGTTACGCGGCAATTGGTTCCACAAATCAACAACCCTGTTACTGAACCAGTATTTACCCAAGTCTTTCCTAAATCTAAACTTATCCAATTTATATCCATTGTTTCGTGTTCTGTCCTGTGTTGATACTTTTAATACCCTATTAATATCCCCCCGGTTATGTCCATTCATCCACTTGTAAACCTCTATCATGTCACCCCTAACTCTTCGCCTTTCCAGTGAATGCAACTTAAGCTTTGTTAATCTTTCTTCATATGAAAGATTTCTAATTTGGGGAATTAACTTAGTCATCCTACGCTGGACACGTTCAAGTGAATTTATATCCATTCTATAATATGGCGACCAAAACTGAACTGCATAATCTAAATGGGGCCTAACTAGAGCAAGATATAGCTTGAGAACCACACCAGGTGTCTTGTTACTAACGCTGCGATTAATAAATCCAAGTGTCCGATTTGCCTTATTACGAACATTTATGCATTGATCCTTTTGTTTTAAATTCTTACTAATCATAACTCCCAGATCCCTTTCGCAATCCGACTTCGCAATCACAACACCATCTAGCTCGTATCTTGTAACTCTATCATCATTACCTAACCTCAGAACTTTACATTTATCAGCATTAAACTGCATCTGCCAATCCTTTGACCATTTCAAAACCCTATCTAGATCAACTTGAAGTGATAGTGAGTCCTCCTCCGAATTAATTTCCCTACCGATTTTCGTATCATCGGCAAATTTGCAAATGTTGCTACTCAAACCTGAATCTAAATCATTTATATATATTATAAACAACAGAGGTCCCAGGACAGAGCCTTGAGGCACTCCACTTACAACATTTTCCCACTCTGACTTGATTCCATTTATACTAACTCTCTGTTTCCTTTGGTATAGCCATGCCCTAATCCAGCTTAATATAGCACCCCCAATACCATGAGACTCTATTTTTTAATCAGTCTTTCATGTGGCACTGTATCAAAAGCTTTGCTAAAGTCAAGGTAAACAACATCGCAATCCTTACCACTATCAACTGCCTCAACAATGCTAGAATAAAAAGATAACAAATTTGTTAAACATGAACGGCCATTTATAAAACCATGTTGCGACTCAATTATTAATTTATGTTTTTCAAGATGAAGACGAATTTTATTTGCTATTATAGATTCGAGTAACTTTCCCACAATAGACGTTAGGCTAATTGGTCGATAGTTAGACGCAAGTGATCTATCTCCTTTCTTAAAAACTGGTATCACATTAGCAACTTTCCAAAACTCTGGCACTCTGCCTGACTCTATTGATTTATTAAATATGGTTGACAGTGGGTCACAAAGCTCCTCTTTGCATTCTTTAAGCACCCTAGCAAACACTTCATCCGGCCCTGGGGATTTGTTTGGTTTGAGTTTTACTATTTGTTTAAGAACATCCTCCCTGGTAACTGCTAAACTCGTCAACCTGTCCTCGTCCCCACCCACATAGACTTGTTCGGCTGAAGGCATATTGTTAAGTTCCTCTTTAGTAAATACAGATACAAAATATTTATTAAAAATACTACTCATCTCTTCATCACTATCTGTTATTTGACCTGTCTCAGTTTTTAATGGACCTATCCTTTCCCTAGTCTTAGTACGATATAACTGAAAAAACCCTTTTG